ATATAAGCAGCCCCATGCCAGGTCTTACGAAGCAAAACGTAGTCTGGCTTTACAGGGAAAGTTCCTTCTAAAGTGGGTCAGGCAGCCCAAAGTGAAGCAGCTGTGGAGGGTAGCTACCAGTGCCCAGGGACAAGCGAAGGTCTACCTTAGCCAGCGAACCACTGCAGATAGACTGCATACCACCAGGTGTGCTAGCAGAAATCAGAAAATACCATTTTTGATACAGAGCGAGGAATGGCAGGCAGAAGTGGTAATTGCAATGGGCCAGGGACAGGTTGAAGGCAATGCTGTGTATTCATGTCCTCAACAAACTGTTAGTGGGGCATCTTTGTTTTGGGACCAGCAGAACATGTGGATGAGCCCATAAGTACCCATGCAATAAAATTTGCTAGCACATGAGTAGACCTACTTTTTTTCCTAGCAAATGAATAGAACTATTTCAACAACAGGAACAAAATCATACATTGATAAATTAACTTTTATCAAATCCTGGAATTCCCTCTATCCAAAATCTCCTTAAAGTCACTGGTGAGGTTTTACTTTCTCATCAGGGATGACAAGATTTTTTTTTTTAATTATATCTTATGAACCTGCCTGCAGTATGCATAAAGGCATACTTTAACCATTCTGTTCCATAGCTTCTACAGTGACTTGGAGACAATGAACCTTAGCATCACCCAGAAAAAAGACATCTAAATCCTAACACAAGTTCCTGGCTAGACATTCTACCTCTTTCAAGAGAAACAGAAGACATTCTGAATCAAATCACCTTCTGTTTCAAGGTGCCTGAACTTTTTCACAGAAGCTGTTGGGAAGATGGAAGCCCTTCTCCCAAACTGCAGCTGAGTCCTATTTTTTGTCTTAAAAGGCCTAACTCTTTTTGCCCTCCGGCAGGGGGTAGGCAGAGGAATTCATATGTGACCAAAGCCATATCTACTGGATTGTGAATCTCAGAGGCTGCAATCTGCTATTCAATCTATATTCACAATGTTAGTAGCACTACGTTACCTATCTAATAAAGTCCTTCTATCTGAACGGCACATGTTTAAAGATCTTAAGCTTAGAACTGGAATGAGAAATAAGGATGAAAGGAAAAAAGACTTACTGGAAAGGATATGCAAATGTTCCTGGTGAGACAATCAAAGTATCTTTTACTGGAAAGATTCATTTCTTAAAATATTAGCTGAGGAAAGCATTTTGTCTTAGGACCAAAGCAATATAAGGTAGTCATCAGCTTATCATTATACCTTGAAAGAAAGTCCTTAGTGATGAATATTATCAGAACGTACAATCATTTTGCATTGTAGGATTCAGTGGGCCAATCAAAGGATGTGTGTGCAGGTTGGCTTTATTGCAATAGAAGCTAAACAAGGAATGAAGCGTTTGAAGAGAGCCAGAACCGAATCCCCGTTGTGAAGAGGTGAAAGCACGCCCGTGCAGGGTTTCATCAAAAGCAATGCCTGTGTGCATCAGCTAAAGTTCATCCCTAGGAAGGGTTTCACTGTTTATATACCATTCTGCTGTGATTATTTATACCTCTAATTAGGCACACTTAATTGTTTTTACCTCTTGCCTGTCAGCAAAGTGTTTATGTGAGAAAAATACCCCCTCTCAGTGTGCAAGAGTTTCTGTGCCCACCACCCCATCAGCACCACGTATCACTAGTGGATGGCCTTGGCAGATCATTTCTAAAAGGAAGAGGTAACTCTTTGAAACTAGAGTGCAGGAGAAGATGAGAAGACAGTTAACCATGAGAAACAGCTGGAGTGGGAAGAAGCTTAGCGGCTTAATTTGGGAAATCTAAGCCTTTACTTAGCCATGCTATGTGCAAGAACACAGAAGATGCCATTCATGCAGGAAAGCACAGAAAGTCTTGCACATTGAGAGGGGGCTCTTTTGGAGAAGTTTTAGATCACCAACAAGGAGAGGATTGTTATCCTCCCTGTGTCTCCAGCAAGGCTTTTATTATACAAAAGCTTTACAAACTTACTTCTTCCTTAATTTCTCACTTAACACCTCTCACTAAACATATATTCTAGAGTCGGTTTGGTGTAATGGTGAAGGTGCTGGCCTAGAAACGAGATCATTTCTAGTCCTGCCTTAGGCATGAAAGCTGGCTGGGTGACTGTGGGCCAGTCACTCTCTCTCAGCCCAACCTACCTCACAGGATGGTTGTTGTGGGGATAATAGGAGGCAAAAGTATTAGCTGTGTTTGCTGCCTTGAGTTATATATGAAAAGGCAGGAGGAGGAGGAAGAGGAGGAGGAGAAGGAGGATGATGATGATGATATTGTTGATAAGAAAGACAAAAAAGTCTGTCTAGTGGATATTGCAATACCTGGAGACAGCAGAATAGAAGAGAGAGAACTGGAGAAAATCACAAAATAAAAAATACCTGCAAATAGAAGTAGAACAACTGTGGCAAAAGAAAGCAGAGATAGTACCAACAGTTACAGGCACCTTG